ATCCCCCTTTAGGGTATCTCTTGGGCCCCTCTTGAAGCCTTATTGGGCCGTCTCAGGGGACTCTTGGGCCGTCTTGAGGCCATCTTGGGCTGTCTGGGGGCGCTCTTGGGGGCCTCTTGGGCAGTCTTTGGGCGATCTTGGGGGCCTCTTGGGCCGTCTAGGAGCGTCGAGACCCCGAAACGGCGAGAACACTAACATGTTTCAACAACCTGAGGAACACCAGGGATTTTCGCATCTCGGGGCCCTCTCGGGGGCCTCTTGGAGCCTTCTTGGGCCCTCTTGGGCGCTTCTTGGGGCGCTCTTGGGCTGTCTCGGGGCCCTCTGGAGATTCATGCGACTGGCCCCAGGAGCGCGCAAAAGCGCCCGGAAGATTTGGGAATTCTGGTTCTAATATTCGCAGTGCCCAATACAGAGAACTCGAAGGGACCCGAGGACACTCCAACTCGTGCCTCAGGGCACGGCGGCGGAGGGCACGTTCGGGAGGGGGAGGAAGAGGTTGGAGAACGACGGGGGCATTACGCCGAGGAGTCTGAGTTGCCAGCGAGGAGCCGTCGGCAGATGTGACGCACGGCTCCCGCGTCAGCGCTGCCGCCCAGTGCTGGTGGCGCTGGCATGGCAGCCTCCTCCCCGCCTCGCCCCTCTCTGCGGGGGCCGCTTCGCCCACGCTTTGCTTTTCGATGTGTACGCTCACCGTTTTCGTCGCTCTGACGACGTGCCACGGGAGCGTATTCTTTGCGTGCGGCAGCCTGGGGCGGGGCGCGCAACAGCGGAGAACGTGAGGCGGGCGGCGGCCAGGCTCTCGCAGAGAGAGAGAGAGAACGGGCACCGCCGCTCGGGGAGGCTCCGCAGCCTGGCGCCCCCCGCCACAGATGCCACGCATCCCTCGGGGGGGGGTTGCTCCGAGCCAGCTGCAGCGTGCGTGCCTGTCAGACCTCCGGCGGATGCTTTCGCCCGGTCCGCCGTGGGCCCCAGAGCAGAGCTCCGGGCCGCCTCCCCGCGGCCGGCACGGAACACAAGCGGGATAGGAAGGAGGTCTGGGTCCGCCTCCCCTCCTCCTCTGCGGATGTCTCGGGGGGCCCTCCAGTGGCCCCTGGAGGTCTCGGAGGCTCAGGGAGGACCGAGTGCCGTCCCGAAGCCTCGATCGATCCTCGAGCCTGGATCCTGGAGCCTCGATCCTTCCAGATGTCGTCCGGGCTCGGGGGACGCTTGGACACGGTGGCAGACGATCGGCCGGGGCCGTGCGGGGCCGGAAGCGGCCAACAAGTGTTGCCCCGATCTTATTAAGACGCGGATGATTGGGGTTAGGTCGGGCGTGTCCCCTTACAGGCGGTTTTGGGACGAGAAATGAAAAATTCTCAAAGCAAATATGCAAACATGGTCAAAAATACTAACAGAATCGTTCTCTGACTATTGTTTGACTGTTTTTGAATTTTCCTCCTGTAGAGGGACAGGCCCGACTTCAGTCTGGGGGGTGAGCCCAGGTCCCGCGGTGTCGCGAAGCTGTATTCGCGCTCCGCGCGTCGTGGTCGGCTGCCCTCCTCCAAAGGGGGCGGCTGGAGGCCGCGAGGGCGCGAAAACCCAGACGTCTGGCTGCTCCAGCGTTTTCGATGCGTGGGCCCCAGATCGGGTACAGCCAGGACCCTACAAGCCTCGTCAAAAATAAACAGAAGACCTCTGAATTCGGTGATCGTGGGGTCAGCGCCACTCCAATGCTGACGGATTCCTGTTGACTCGGACGCGGCGTTGTCCAAAAACCAACCCCACCCTCTCAGCATTGAAGAACGCGCTTTCTGACAAGTGCCCGAAAGCATCGTGCTCCAGCATTTCAACTTCCATTTCTGGATAATTTTGACGAGGCTTGTAGGTAAGGGGGCCCGGTTAGTGGGAGGGCCCCGGAGCCCCTCAATTGGCCAGAATCACCAGAAGCCAGGTCTGCCGCAGCGGGTGTTTCTTCGGGTGGCGGCAGTTCCTGTCGGTGGCACGGGGCGGGGGGGGGGGGCGTCCCCCAGTGCACATCACGTGCACGAAACCCAGTTCTGCCACCGCCCGACCAAATGTCTCTGAGCCCCATGCCCCAGGGCCTGTCTTCTGTCCCCGGTCGTCTCCTGCAGACCCCGGGGCCCGGCGAGGGCCCCCGGCAGGCCGAAGACTGCCCCGAGCCGCCCGCTCCAATTCCTGGGGGCGTCGGCTCTCTGGGAGGTGAACCGCGCGCCGCGCGTCGTGGGGCGCGAGGTGCGAAGTTAGGCCTAAGTCGGGCCTGTCCCTCTACAGGCGGCATCTCCGAGAACAGTTTGAACATGGTCTGGGGGCGAGCTTTTCCGCACATGCTTGGCTGCTGTTGAAGCTTCGGTTTGATGATCCCTCGCTTGCCTTCCAGAATCCGCCTACAGGAGGGCAGGCCCGACTCAAAGTTCGGCGGCCCACGAGGGCGGCGGTGGCGGCGGGCGGCGGCGAGAGGCGGAGGAGGACGACCCCGCGCAGTCGCCCGCCCTGCCCGGGGATGACGAGGCCGCGCAGGACCCGCGGCGCCGGCTACCCGGGGCGGGGGAGGCCCCCCAACGAAAGACAGGAATGCGCCAGTCAGTGTGTATCCGTCGTCAGAGGATCGACTAGACGTAAGAGTGACCCTTCGCTGGAGCGACCTCTCGACGAACGAACAACACACACCCCCACACCCATAGGGAGGTCGTTGGGAGGAGGACTGGCTATGGGTATGGGTGCGGGTTGTCGGACCCTGGGGAACGATCCCGTTCGACGGGGGACCCCCATCCGACAACACGCACCCATAGCCCTCTCCGATCCCCCTATGGGTATGGGTGTGTGTTGTTGATTCGTCACCTTTGGTGCGCGCTCAACCGGGGTCCCCCGATCGCCGTGCTCGGTGCGACAGTGGCATCTGGCGCGCCTGTGTTCGGCCTCCTCGCGCCCCCCAAGAAGCCGCGCACCAAAGGTCACTCTTGCCCAGGGTCACTCTTACGTGCAGCCGAATCCGTCGTCAGAGGAGGCGCCGAGAGCGTTTGGGACGCGTCGAAAGGTGCATTTTAGTCGAACGTGTATCTGCGCAGTGTCCCGAAGCCGACGCTCCCAGCCGGGAGGTGCAGGAGACGCGACGGTGCTTTAGCGTTAAGTCGGGCATGTCTCTCTACAGGGGGAATCTTCAAAAATAGTCAAAGAATAGCCTGGGGACTAATTTCCTAATATTTCCGAACATTTTTCGAAGATTTTGGAATAATTTTTAATTTCTCGTCCCAAATCCGCCTGTAGGTGGACAGGCCCGACCTAACTTCAGCGACACGTGTGCGAAGGGCGAGCCTGGAACGACGAAGTTCGCGTAGGCACACAGACAGCGTGGGCGCCGACGGGCGCAGAGAGCAGGGAGGCGAGGCTCGCGGGGGGGGTCGATCGGCTGCACGGCAAAGCTGGCCTGCATCCGACCTCCCCAGGCGGGATCGTGCCGTGGAGCAAAAAATCGGGGCGGGCGCTTTTGTTCGCTGTTTTCGGGGGTCCGTCCCAGGACCTCAGGGGTCCCCGGGAGGCAGGAGGTCCCCGGAGGTCCCTGGAGGGTTCGGGAGGTCCAGGACATGGGCAGCCACGTCCACAAGCCTGGGCTGCAAAGCCTCCGCATGCGAACCCCCCATTGATCGGTCTTCGGTCCTCCAAGACCGCCAGGGAAAGAGTGACGACAGCATGGTGGCGCGCATAAAGGGGGTGGCGCCAAGGGGGTTGCCTTCTAAGCAGGAGGGGGTGTTTCTAAGAAAGCAGGAGCCTCTTAGAAGCGTTTCTGGCTTCTACGGAGTCCTCGTGGAAGGCGCGGGGTCCCTCCAAGAAGGCCCCTGCTGCCTTCCACTCACTCCTCCGACTTCTTCGCATGAGAAGCGAAGGGGATACGTACTCGGACACGACTGGCTGGGCTTCGAGAGAACGCATCGCGCGAGCGTTCGTGACACGAGGCAGCCTCGCGACTTGGGGGGCGGCATGCTCGTGCGCGTGGCTGGGCGCGTGCGCCCTTTTTCGGGGCTCCCCGCCTCAGAGGCGCCCCCTCCCTCGCGCCAATCCCCCCCCCCCGTGCGCGCCGCCGACGAGCCCGCCGCGGAGGGGCGCTGCCGTGAGCAGCCCGCGCCGTTTCCGCGGGGGAGAGGCGCCCTGCGCCCCTGGGCGTGGCCCCTTGCCCCAGGGCCGGGCCCGGAGCCTCGGGATCCCGTCCTCCGATGCGAGAGGCGCCATGGGTATGGACACAGCAGTGCTGGCCCCAGAGGCCCGATTCTTTAACCACCTCCACTGCGCCGCGGCCTGTTGTGGCGCCCCCTCTCAGACAGCCCAAGACGCAGTGGATATTTATGGATGTACATCGTGCCCGCGCAAAGGGCCCCGCAGCCGCCCCTGGCTGCGGCCCATGCGCGGCCCCCCCCCCTTGACTCCGGATCCGCCCTATTGTGGCTTTTTTTCCAACTTAAATTTGCGTGGGAAATCCACCTATAAGAGGCCGAACAAGTAGGGCTGAAATTGCTGCACCCAACATAGAATAGGGCGGAAAGCCACAGAAGCAGCAACAGAAAAAAGTGGGGCGGAAATCGGCATCCGCGGGGCCTGAAAAGCAAGGCGGAAATTTTAAGCCCCACTTGCGAATTTCCCCAAAGTAGGGCGGATCCGGAGTCAGGGCCCACCCCCCTCTAAGACAGCCCAAGACGCAGTGGATATATGGATGTACATCGTGCCCGCGCAAAGGGCCCAGCAGCCGCCCCTGGCTGCGGCCCATGCGCGCCCCCCCCCCCCCCCCCCCGTGCCCCCACCCCCCGTGCACCACCCCCCCGGACCCCCCCACGGTGTGGGGCGAGGACCCGGCGGCGAGAGACGGGCGGCAGAGATGGCGCAGAGCCCGGCCGGCAGCGCCGCGCGGGCTTGCTCTCATCGCCCTCGCCGCCGCCGCCGCCGCCGCCGTCGCCGTCGCCGCCGCCGCCGTCGCCGCCGCCGCCGTCGTCGTCGTCGTCGTCGTCGTCGTCGTCGTCGTCGTCGTCGTCGTCGTCGTCGTCGTCGTCGTCGTCGTCCTCGTCCATGCCCCCGTCGTCGTTGTCGCTGTCGCCGTCCTCAAGTCTTTGCCCCCGTCGTCAAAGTCTTTGTCGCGTCGTCGTCGTCGTCGTCGTCGTCGTCATTGTCGTCGTCGTTTTTGTCGTCGTCGTTTTTGTCGTCGTCGTCGTCGTCGTCGTCGTCGTCGTTGTTGTCGTTTTTTTCGTTGTCGTCGTCGTCGTTGTCGTCGTCGTCCTCTTCATTGTCGTCGTCGGCGTTTTTGTCGTCGTCGTCGTCGTCGTCGTCGTCGTCGTCGTCGTCGTCGTCGTCGTCGTCGTCGTCGTCGTCGTCGTCGTCGTCGTCGTCCTTTGTTGCACGGTGCTGGCGCCTGGTGAGGGCCCCCCGGAGGCCCGGCACGGCGAGGAACCCTCCGCTTCCGGCTCGTCGCAGCGCGAGGAGGCCTGGGCTCCAGGAGCCGCCCACCGCCGGCACGCCCCGTCGGCCGCCGGAAGCGGCCGGAAGACCACCGGGGACCGCCCGGGGCCGACGGGGCACCGCCCAGGGCCCACGGTCGACGGCGTAGCCCCATTCGGCGGCGAGCCCCGGGGGGGAAGTGAGGGATCACCACCCACCAGATCACCCCAACCCAGCCCGAAGGCGTCAATCTGCCCTCCATTTCCAGGGGGGGGGGGTCGGGGAAGGTTGAAAAAACACATGGAACCCGTACCCCCCCCAACCCGAAATTCGGGTCAAACTCGGGTCTTCGGGTTGGGTTGGGGTGGTCTGGTAGGTAGTCAGGAGGCGGCGGGGTTTCTCAGAACCCCGTGGCGCCCTGGACAAGTTTTCTAAACTCCTCTCCGAAGATAGAGGCGGCTCCTCAGGTGGCCGGGGGGCTTCGGAGAAGCCCGGCCGCCTTTTGAGGATGCCTGTCCCCTCTCGCTTCCCCCCCTGGGCTCGCCGCCGACCCATAGTTCCCGCGATGACCTATCACAACACCCTGGAAGAATTACCCTGGCGAAGGACCCAACCATATGCACTTGTGAGTGCCGCGTTGTGGGTACCGCTCTCGGTGGAGCTCCCTACGGGGCCACGACCCTCGTGAGGGGTGTGCCGAACTGGGCGGGGGGACGCATGCGGACCCTTCCGGGGGGGGCCTTCGGTGGAGCTCCCTATGGGATACGAGGGATACGATCCTCGTGAGGGGCGTGCCGAACTGGGCGGGGGGACGCATGCGGACCCTGCCGCTGGGGACTTCGGTGGAGCTCCCTATGGGGCCACGATCCTCGTGATGGGTGTGCCGAAATGGGCCGGGGGACGCATGCAGACTCTGCCGCGGGGGCCTTCGGTGGAGCTCCATCTGGGGCAACGATCCTCGTGAGGGGTGTGCATGGGCGGGGGGACGCATGCGGACCTTACCACTGGAGCCTTCGGTGGAGCTCCCTATGGGGCCACGAAGCGCTGTCCTGGGAGGGTGAAACGCAGGGAGGTGACGAGGCGGATGGGAGGAGGGAGGAGAGGGAGGAGGAGAAGGAGGAGGAGGAGGAGCAGGAGGAGGAGGAGGAGGAGGAGGAGAGGAGGAGGGAGGAGGAGGATGAGGAGGAGGAGGAGCGGGAGGAGGAGGAGGAGGAGGAGGAGGAGGAGGAGGAGGAGGAGGAGCAGGAGGAGGAGGAGGAGGAGGAGGAGGAGGAGGAGGAGGAGGAGGAGGAGGAGGAGAAGAGAGGAGAGGAGACGCGGGGCGCTGTCTCTTCAAAACGAGGACCCAACACCACAGGATGGTTGGGAACAATGCAACTCTCGCGCGGTCCGTCTTCCCGCGCCCCTCAAGTTCAGTGCTCGCGAGCAGCGCCGCGCGGTTCGATTTTTCTGGCCTCGGCCGCGGCCGACCACACACTGAGATGGGGGGTCGCGGGGGGGGGTGCAAGAAGTTTAAGAAATAGCTGCACTGGATTTTCGGGGGGGGGGGATGCGGGATCGGTGCAACGGTGCATGCTCTCCTCCTCTCTCCTCCTCCTCATCCTCCTCCTCCCTCTCCTCCTCCTCCTCTCTCTCTCTCCTCTTCCTCTCTGTCCTCCTCCTCTCCTCCTCTCCTCTCCTCCTCTCTCTAATCCTCCTCCTCCTCCTCCTCCTCCTCCTCCTCCTCTCCTCTACTCTCTCTTCCCTCTCTCTGTCCTCTCTTCTCTCTCCTCTCCTCACTTCCTCTCTCTTCTCTCCTCTCTCCTCTCTCCTCTCTCCTCACTCCTCTCTCCTATCTCTTCTCTCCTCTTTCCTCTCTCTTCTATCTTCCCCTCCTCCTCCTCCTCCTCCTTCTCGTCCTCCTCCTCCTCTTCCTCCACAGTGTCACGATCTGAATATTACTTGCCACTCTCTCCTCTCTCGCCCGAAGACGGTGGTGAGGTGTCCTGGCCTCCTCCTCGTAATCATTGTCTTTGCAGAGGGTGCAGCCGAATGGATCATGTATCTGTGCTTTTCCAAACCGAGCGCTTTCAGTCCTTTCAGAATGGCGCTCCCGCTACAGCGTTGGCTCCATTTTCCCGTTCCAGTCCTTCCAAATTATGTTCTTGCTGTAGCTCTGACCTCGCTTCCTTTTGTCGGCTCTTCCAAATCGTTCTCCTGCTGCAGCGTCGGCGTCGTTTCCGCGCTTCCAGTCCTGACAAATCGTGCTCCCACTGTAGCGCTGCTCTCATTTCCGCGGCTTCGGTCCTTCGAATTCGTGCTCCCGCTGCAGCGCCGATCTCATTTTGCGTTTCCCGCTTTCCAATTCGTCCATTTGCATTTCCCGTCTTGTGTCATTTCAGGTTTTCTCATGGCCTTGTTCTCCAACCGAGTCGCGTTCTCGACGCGATGTCATGCTATGCCGTGCTATACCATGCATCGCGTACTCTCTCTCGGGACCCTTGGCCTGTTCGACATCCGACCGTGCGAACGGAGAGTAGACCTACGCAATGGTAAGGGATGGGATGGAGGGGTAGGACGTCAGATGTGACGCTTGCGCACCTAGCTTGTCCTCTTCCTCTCTCCTGTCGCCTCTCTCCTCCCCCTCTTCCTACTCCTCTCTCCTTTTTCCTCTCTCCTCTCTCCTCTCTCCTCTCTCCTCCTCCTGCTCCTCTTGCTTCTCCTCCTCCTCCTCCTTCTCCTTCTCCTCTCTCCTCTCTCCTCCCCCTCCTCTCTCCACCTCCTCCTCCTCCTCCTCCTCCTCCTCCTCCTCCTCCTCCTCCTCCTCCTCCTCCTCCTCCTCCTCCTCTCTCCTCTCTCCTCTCTCCTCTCTCCTCCCCCTCCTCTCTCCTCCTCCTCCCTCCTCCTCCTCCGCCCCTCTCTCCTCCTCGTCCCTCCTCCTCCTCCTCCTCCTCCTCGTCCTCCTCCTCCTCCTCTCCTCCTCCTCCTCCTCCTCCTCCCTCCTCCTCCTCCTCCTCCTCCTCCTCCTCCTCCTCCCCCCTTCCTCCTCCTCCTCCCATGATGGCGCGCCCCTCTCTCCCTGGGCGCGGCGCGGCGCCGCCCCCGCCTGCGTCGGGCGGGGGGGGGGGGGAGCAGGCCGGCCTGCTGCCCACGCCTCCTCGGCGGCAGGCTCTGAGAGCCGACCTCCTCGTGGCTCGGGAGGGGGAGCACGGCAGGCACGCTGCCGTTGGGAGCCCTGGCAGCTCGTCTGCCCCCTCGCTGCTGTCCGGAGGCCTGGTGCCTCGCCGGCAGTGGCACGCCGATGGGCGCCCCACGGCGGCGTGCCGATGGCGGGGGGCGGGTGGGGGGAAGGGGAGGGGAAGAGGAGGATGCGGGTGCGGATGCGGATGTGGATGCGGACGCGGATGCGGGTGGGGATGAAGATGATGATGAGGAGGAGGAGGATGATGATGATGATGATGATGATGATGATGATGATGATGATGATGATGACGATGATGATGATGCTGACGATGAGGATGATGATGATGATGCTGATGATGATGGTAATGATGATGATGATGATGATGATGATGATGATGATGATGATGATGATGATGATGATGATGATTCTGACGATGATGCTGACGATGATGCTGACGATGAGGCTGACGATGATGATGACGATGCTGATGCTGATGCTGATGATGATGGTAATGATGCGGCGGCTGCTGCTGTTGCTGATGATGATGACGATGCTGATGATGCTGGTGCTGCTGATGATGTTGATGATGGTGATGATGTTGATGATGCTGCTTATGGTGATGGGGGTGACGGTAATGCTGATGATGATAATTATGGTGGTGAGGATGATGATCATGGTGATGAGGAGAACGAGGAGACTGATGATGATGATGCTGCTGAGGATGATTGCATTGACGATCATGATGAATATGATCATGATGTTGGTGGCGATGACGAGTCTGATGATGAGTATGAGTATGCTGACAATTTTTCGGAGTATGATGACGATGTTGTTGATGTTGCTGCTGATGATGCTGATGATTCTGATGACGACGATCATGATGATGACGATGATGCTGATGATGATGCTGCTGATATTAATGCTGACGACGATGATGCTGACGACGATGATGATGATGATGATGATGATGATGATGATGATGATGATGATGATGATGATGATGATGATGATGATGACGATGACGATTATCATGATGATGAGGGCTATGATGATGAGGTTTCTGAGGAGGAGGAGGGCCATCGGTGGGGGGGGCTTGGGACGGGGATGAGCGTGTGTGTGTGTGTGTGTGTGCTGTGGGGGGCTAGGAGAGGGGAATGTGTCGAGGGTCGATACACACGGTCCGTAGTAATGATATTTTAATATTATTATTAATGTTGCTGTTCATAATACTGATAATTCTGATGGCGACGATCATAATGATGAAGATGCTGATGCTGATGCTGATGATGATGATGATGATGATGATGATGATGATGATGATGATGCTGCTGATGATGATGATGATGGTGACTGATGAAGATGATGATGATGATGATGATGATGATGATGATGATGATGATGATGAGGATGATGATGATG